CGTCTTCAACTAGTTATAAAGATAGTTTCTATTAATATTTCTGCAAAGTTATAAACGTATTAAAATCGCAACGTCATGAGTTGCTGTAGCTGAAATTTTTATTATGAAATAAAGAAGTTTATAATTTTTTACGTACAAATATATGAATTTTTCTGTATGCGTCACAGAAAAAATTTAAAAAGTAACAGGATGGTAATAAGTTGCTCTTATGCATTCTTAATTTTTTTCCTACGTGGAAAGTTTTCGTAAAGGACTGCTGGTCAGAAAATTGCATATTTAGCTGTCAATACGTTTGAATTACACCCAGCAGAAATTTCTTGCCGGTACCAACTTTTAGATTTCTTAATTAAAATAAAGATAAACTCATTTTTTCTTTTGCGTCATTGCTATTATCGTTTTTAAAAATTTAGTAAATAAATTTTAGAATAAAAAATTAATGATTATATATATAATTATTAATTTTTTATTTATGACTATCTCTATGAAATGAATAGTAAAAAACTATTCAAATGGAATTTATTAATTATTAATAAGACTTTATTAATAATTAATAAAGAAGACTGAGATAAAATTAGTAAAATATGTAATAAACTTGGAAGAAGTTTAATTTGTAATGGAAATAATCAAAAACGTACAGCTGAAAAATAAAAACAGAAAAGTACATGCATAGAAAACTAAAGACATTTTATTTATCCCTGGAAGACGGCAGATTTATCAAAGCGAATTTGTCCTGTTCCATTGAATCCGCAATAATTTGGGAATGATCGTGTTTCTTGCGGATTCTATGGAACAAGATTAACTCCCTTTGATAGGTCAGCCTTCTTCCAGGAGATCAACAATCTTTTACTTTTTTTATGTATTTACTTTTCTATTTTTATTTCTAAACTGTACGTTTTTGATGATTGCCATTACAAATTAAACTTCTAGGTTTATTACATACTTTTAGTAGTTTTACCTCAGTCTTATTAAGAATTAACAGTTAATGAATTCCATTTGAAATAGTTTTTACTGTTCACTTCCTAGGAGATAATCGTAAATAAAAATAATTAAACTTATATTTATAGTCTTAGCAGCGATAAGCGCCATCCGTCCAAAGTCCATTTATGGCTTTAATTTTTACTTATTTTATAAGGTACTTCTCCCGTATTCTTAGCATGCCTTCGTGGTGTAGTGTCAGCACGCTCGACGCGTATTCGAGAAGTCCGTGGTTCGAGTCGCTTCGAAATAACCTAATGTCTCTACAATTTACTTTGTTACTCTTCTGTTATCAGGACCGGATTCAGAAATGTATGTTTGTAATGCATGTATGTGTTCATGTATGCATGTGTATGTACGTAACGTATGTATGTGTGTATATTCATATGCGCACGTACATAGATATACACGTGCATACATATATACATTTCTGACTCCGGTCCCGATAACAGAAGAGCAACTATACTTTTTGAGTTAATACATTCGACCCGTCAGGTGCTCGTGCATTCTTACCGCATGCAATTTAAGTTTGAAATCACTATTTTAGAACACTTATCTCCAACTATATTATTCTCCAAACATATACATTTTGTTTCAAAGGAAGTTCAGAATTATTTGTAATAGAAATAATATGTTCTGCATGCTTAAGAAAGCACTTTTCATTAGATGTCACAGTAAATAAAGTTATCCATGCATGAGAAGTAATATAAATATCTAATTTTGCTTGTTAACAAATAACAATATTAATAAGTAAAGCTTTCTAAGTTTATAACAAAAATAAATAAATAAATAAATAAATATGAATACATTTAAAACACATTTTATTATTGTATTTTTAAGGTCCCGATAACAGAACAATACTGAAAGAATATCTAATAATTGTTATATATATATATATATAGCTTCCTTTTTTTATTTACATTAAAGAAACACGTTCCAATATATCATATTCATAGTTTATTGAAACGATGTTAAGGCAATTATTTTTGTCTTGCCTTATTACTCTATACGTTTGTAAAGAAAGATTTAATCCTTTTTTTAAGGTTGACGATTACCTTTTTATAAAGCTTTTATAAGGTTATTAATTTAACCCTATTATAAGGTTGACAAATATAAACATAATGCAGAAAGAAAAACATAAAACATACAGTAATTACACGTATCTGATTTTTACACATACGTTATTTTTACATACACATCGTATTTTTACCAAATGTGCATACATGCACGCACTCGCCATTCCCAAAACGAAAGGAACTTTTAAGAAGATGGTTTTCATTTAACAATTTTAAACAGTAACAATGCAATGGAAGCTGTAATTTAAAATATCCAATTCCGTATTTTTTTTTAAACATTTGTCAGCATATTTTAAAACAAAACGTTAATACTATGCATAAGGCAAAAATCAGATAAATCAAAATTACATCAAAATCGAAAACTCTTCTTCTTAGAAAAGTTTCTCAGAAGTTTATCAGATTGTATACATGTGAATAACGTTATAAACATAAGAACAAATGTTGTTATTATTAACTGAGCCAATATTATTGCATTTTAAAATATCGTAAATAATGGAAAGTTGACATAAACGAAAACCCATATTTTAACATAACAACCGAAATCTTATTTAGAGATAAGTAGAATAGTTTTCAAATTATATATGTATATATATTTGTAATAATAAAATTCCATAGTCAAGAATACACTTAAAATTCTAACTGTATGTTTTTTTTTCATTTTTAATGGCGACGTTCTCTTATTTGAAAGTACGTGGAATTAAATCCACAGCCCCGTAGTCACGTTGTTTTTCCCGCCTTTTCTACACGTACAGTTTTAGAGTGTTCTGGAAATATTTAAAGCGAACTGGATTGGCTGACGTCATTTCTTGGAAGCCTCCGCCTTTCCAGAGGCTATAAAAGGACTCGCAAAAGAATATCGCGGGCTTTTTCTTAAATGTCACGATGCAGTAAACTTCATACAAAATATTATTATTAGTTCTTTTTTATTTACTCCGGATATCTGATTTGTAACTGCTATTTCTCCTGACCAATAATAAATGGATCCGTTTTTTAAACTTATCGTTGATAATTTAAGCTACGACACATTTATGATTCTTCAACAAATTATTCCTGACAAAAGCTGGTACATCATATATATATATATTTACGAATATATGCATACGAAACTCCAAGTAATAAAACTAATAACTATAAATAGTAATAAAACTAATTTTTTTATTTCCAATTTTTAATTTGAGGATTCAGAAATTTTTATTAATAGGTTTAGACTGGATTTTTTGGATTAGGTAAAAGCAACTGAGATTCATCTACCGTTTCTTTGTACTTTCGATCAAACGCCCTTCAGGAGTGGAAACCAAAGGCCTCGTACTCCTCTTTCTCTGCTTTTAGTCCTCCTTTTGAAAGGACTTTTTAAGTATCGCCATTCTGCAAAGACATTGAAGTTACATGCCATGTCTAGGGTTCGAACCTGAGCGCACTGGAATAGTAGTTAGTTTTTCGCTAAGCATCATACGATGAGAGACATATTTTTATTAACTTCTGGAAGTTTTGTTGGCAGTCATCAAAATGAAATATATACGAAATGAAGACATGTCTATTTGAATTATAATTATTAATCTATATGAAATTAAGTAATTGCGTGTAACTATATTACAATTGTACAGACAGAAAATAATAGACGAGATTTTGTACGTGTAGTTTATAAACGTATTTAACTAATATATTTTTTCTCTAAACCTCTTATATCATGCATCTACAAATACACCATAAGGTATTCTTTAAACTGAGATCAGTATCGCCCACACTATGCTTTTCACAGAAAAGAAAAATAATGTAAATTAATTTTCTTACGATAAATTCCAAACTATGGAAAAGGAAAACTTGAATACTTGGGATATATGTAAATCTACCGAGAAAGAAGAGGGAGCGACAAAAATGAATTATTTTATCACGCATTTTTCTTTTTCTAATATAAACAATATAATGATACAAACTACGAAGGAAATGCTAAAAGTAGCAGATTAAAATGCAAGCATTTAATTAAAAAAGTATTAAACACTTCGAAAATCCTAACTTTATGATACTATTTGTTCATGAGCCATTCTGTACGACATACGGCAACACAAATTTTGTTTCTTTACATAAACGGCCTCTGTTGATACAAGAGAAGAAAGTTATGCTTTCTAATTAACAAGTGAAATACTAGATGAAAAGAGTCTGATGGAAAACTTACTCTAGTATCATTGGCCTTAAATTCTCAAGGCAATAGTATAAACTGTCAGTGCAGTACAAGCTCATAGTTTAAAAGAACATATCAGAATTTTAGTCACTCAAAAAGGGCCGGCAGGAAAAAAAAGACGCTTAACCTGTACGAAATAACTGAAATATCTTTGCAATAATAAAGACTAAGTTTGGTTTAACGGCTTTTCTTTCCATAGTCGTGGTTATTAAAAACTCGCTATGGCATGGGAAGGATTGGCGAAATCGTTCATTAAATAGTAACCTATCCGAGTTGGTCATAAAGTTCAAAACGCACTTTACAAATTGATTTTATTAAAAATACCGGGATCGTACGCATGGAAATTTTGACTAGCAGTGCTTCTAATTATAAATGAAATTCGTAATTTTCAGATTGCACATGCGTATCAAGTTTGCTATAAATCAGATTCCTCTTCGTTTATGATATTCAGGTGCTTAATACTAATTCTGTTATAAGAAAAGTAGAGCTTTGATTTATTTCATTTGTCAAACTTCTCTCACTTAGAAAAATAAGAAGATATACTGTAATTCCCTTTAAATTATAATTGAAAGTTTTATATATTGTGCATAAAGGACAGTCACAAATTATGATATTTCAATTTTCATTTATGTGATTCACAAAAATATTAAAATTCAGCCATTTATTGTGTTTAAAAATGAATTTAAAAATTTTAAAATTTAAAATTATTTAAAATTTAAAATGAAAAAATTAAAAAATTTAAAATTTAAAAATGAAATTTAAAAACAGTGTTACAAAAATAACCATACAAATTTATTACGAACCCAACAAGACGCAAATACATGCAAAATACTCTTACACTATTTGGAAAAAGAATAAACTTGTACAAAATACAGATCAAATCAAGTATAAGCATACTAAATGAAAAATATAAGTAAAAATGTGGAAAAGTCTGAACTCGTTGCTTTGAACTGTTTATTTTGTTTATTAGAAGTATATTTTGAAGCATTATAGAAAAGTCCGTCTTCACATGCTATGGTGACTGAAGATACAATTTCTGTAAAATTTTAATGGTAATAATAGCTTTCATTAATATGTGGAAATTAAACAAGGACTGGTAGTCATATGTAGATAAGTTCGTTGTCGTTTTACTTGATAACAGCCACAGCGGGTAATTTTTGGTTTTTCCCCCCTACCATTACATTCCTAATCTTTTTTTTTTTTTTTTTTTTTTTTTTTTTTCAAAATACGAAATCCTTTTCTGTTCAATATGCTTGCGCTGTCAATGTAGTACTTAGTTAATGAAACTGTTAAAATATTTTCATTTTAAATAATCAGATTATTTCATACATTTTTAAAACATATTTATATGGTATAAGCATATTTTTTTTTCAAAAGACATAAACACAGCAGCTTATTGAGGTTTCACTTATTCACTATTTACTGCAACTTTTGATTCATTATCTTTCACTTCACTTGCGGTATTTCACAATGTAACTACTTTATAAGTACGACAATTTTTGAGAAATGCTATCACTTTCTCTGGTTGAATGCAGTGGAATATAAAGAGCATAACAATAAATACGTTTTTGAACTTTTAAATACTTTGTAATGGATTCCCTTGAAGTACAGAGTAAGAAGCAATATGCTCAGGGATTCTCAAATCTCGCCAGTCAGTTTTGCTTTCACATAATACGCTGCCAAATGTAAAACACGTAGTTGCCATTCTTTTAGAGTTTCTGAAGAAGCAGTAACTTGATCATCTTTCAAACGGTCCAAAAGCGTAACGCAGATCACGCCACCTGTAAGCATATAAAAATTAATGAGGTAATATGTACAATAAATAGTACGGAAGCATTTGAGTTTGGGAATGAATCAAGCTGTCGTTCAGCAAAAAGTAAGGAGACAAAAGATAAAGAAAGGAAGTAATAAGCTGTGGAAACATAGTATCTGGGTAATTAGTATATGAAAGGTAGAAACCAGAAATAGAGAAAATCTAAATTCTGAAACGAAATGAGTAGCGTGAGAATAACTATGAGACAAGCATTTAACTAGATATATAAAATCGAAAGAAGGCCAAGTTAGTCTGTTTATTATTACAAAGCACTCGATAGATTAGCATTGCTTTCTTTTTGAAGGATTTATAAAGAAATTATCTCGTGTTTATGCTGCTCCTGAAGAAAACTACGAGACCTAACTCTACTAGCACATTCAAACACCATCAGTATGAACTGCTAGTGTTCAATTGCCTTTGATCAGCCAGTGGTGGGTGATATCAAAAAATGTGTTCGGATCTGAACATCTACCAAAGGAAAAGATTTTCTACTTTCAATGAAAAGGTAATCAGTTGCAATAAGACTGCATTGTGGATTAGTTAAATAAGTCTTTTTTCTTAATAATAAATAATAAAAGTATGCAGACATAGAGACATGCATTCATAGAGAAAGGCATAGAGATGCTCATTCTTAAATGTAGACTATGAGACAGTGTAGGCGATGAGTCGTTTCTTATGGCTCATTTCGAACCGAAACTTTAATTTTCTTTTGAATTGTTAAATTTATAAAACAGAAATGTAAGCCAAAGGCAAAAGAAATAGAATTATTTAGAGCCTGGGATTTCATGGAACAAAAACGAAGTAAACCCTTTCCTTATATGCAGTTTTTAGAAAAACACCCGGCAGCGAGGCCATTAGATGCAGTTTATACAAGTTAATTATTCCTTATGTGCAGTTTTTGGGAAACCTCCAGCAAGCTGAAGCGGCGACTTGGCGTCTTGGTAATTTCATAAAAGTTTTATCCCATTTTTCACATCTAGAAGAAAGAAGCCTTGTGAATTGTTGAAAAGCGTCATCGTAGTTGACACACGGACCTTATAAGAGATAGACTAAGACCAGTAGGCGGGGCGCGCGTCACCAACATGTCCACAAGAAAGAGTAGGGACGATCTGGTTTACTTTAACACTGAAACCTATGGCGTAATAATTAAATGTGATACGTTGTATAGTGATGAGATAATGAAAGTCACAGTTTTTTCAAATAGAATTTAATATATCTCATTAAAGCAGTTTTTACTGCATTTCGCACAATTTTTTCACGCGTAATTCTTGTACAAACATCTTTACTTTGGTAAAACGGTAAAAACTCTAAGCTCAAAATTTATGAACTTAATTTTGCGTAAAAATAAAGTAAAATTAAATAAGATTACGTGATTTAGAAATTAGATAGTACGTAATGCTTTGAAATAAATAAGGTAAAATTATACAAGATCTGATAATTTTTTTAAAAACTTTAATGAACATTTTCAGGCAGTGATTTTCAGAACTATAATAACATTACAAAACGATTATTTATTTGATTATATCATCATTAAAATATTAACATTAAAGTGAATTATTTATTTTAGTAATTTATAAAATTCGGAGCATAAATTTTTCTGAGTGTAATGAAGGAAAAAAAAAGATAAAATAAAATCTAGAAGCACTCAGATTTTATATTACGCCCAAAAGGAACCTTTTTTTAACGTTTTGTGTGTTACCTATATTTATTGAATATCATGTTCTTTGCCCATAAACTACATACATTTGAAAACAGCATATCTTTAGAATTTCCGCACTGGAGATGAAAATGTTATTTTCTGTACAGTGTTACAATTGCTCGCTTTGAACTCGTTGAGTTTGTTAATCAAAAATTCGTTAAAGTTTTACAAAATATGAAATACATTAAAACAAATTAGAAATTCGGCCGTCCAGTGCCCATGTTCGAGTGGAGGAATACATTATTCAAAATTTGATGGCTCTAGATACTCGTTTTTGTCACAGGAGGAGAAACATACATGTATTCATGCAGATTCTTCATTATTTAATTTCTTTAAATATAATACAGGGTGATAATATTTGGTAACAACAATTTGCAAGGAGACACGGACATTTATAGTGAAACAGCGCAAAATGCCGCTTCGAGCTAATAAATTAAACTAACAGTAAAAAAAAAATCCTATGCTTAACTAAAAATAAATTTTATAAATAATCACCATAAAATACAAGCAGAATTAATTATTACTTTTAAATACAATTTTAAAATTAGAATTAAATGTATAAAAATTATTAAGATGTCAAAAGTGTTTATCATTATGATATATTATGAAATATAATTGAAATAAAATTCCTTTATAGAAATTGTGCTATAATACTCATCCATAATTTTAAAAAAAGCAGCACAATTTAGAATCTAGATTTAAAATATTTTAGTATATTTTACTTATTTACAGCAATAAAAAGCATAAAAACTGCAAGAGAAAATTGCTTGTTTGAAATTTTCTATTAGTTCAGATTTAAAATATTATTTTCTAAAAGAAGTAGTTACAAATTTCCTTACAGCATAAGAAAAGCTAAAAAAATATCCAGCCCTGAAAGCACGCAATAGCTTTATAATTATTTGGAACGCTAATTATGCTTGATAAATATGCTAAATTGTTAAAAATAAATCTCAGTTTCAAAAATAAAAATACGTAGAAATTCTAATTTGTGAAATGAGGCGCTACAACCAGCCTTTTCTTGACAATCATACACGCTGCAATAGGCAACCACTGTTAAATTTCTGCAAGTCGTCCCTACTCCTCCGGGTGTGATCAAGGTGACAGCCAGGAACGCGTTAAGACAAGGGAGAAAACCCATTTGGGTTGGTCTATTTCTTATAAGGTCCATGAGTTGACATTACTCTTGCAGCATCTTTTAAAGGAGCAGAAATGATAGCCCCCAAAAAGAAGCTGCACATTCGTGGACAGAAAATCATTGGTGCCTGAGTATAAAATTATAGATGAAATAATAATAATAATAAGTTAAGCTCAAATTTCAAACGTTCTTTTCTCCAACAATACAGTCAACTAACAGTGGCCGAATTGATAAGACAGCTGAAACTGATTAGTTCGATCTGGGTCTAACACTAGATTCCCCAAGGAAGTCATTTTGACTGCTTTTTAATTTCAATTAGAAAAACAATTATATACATAATGACACAATTTCTTAGAATTTTTTGACTTTTTGTACAACATATAAATGCGTTTATTAATAATTGTAGTTACCCCCTTCTTTCATTTCCGGTATATATATATATGTGTGTGTGTGTGTGTGTGTGTGTGTTATACTTATATTACCCCAAAGCAGTCATTTTGACTGCTTGGGAAATTTTAAATAATCAAGTGACTCTTATTATTGAATTGAATAAATTTCTTATATGACCAGTTTCGCTCTGTATTGAAATAACAGTTTTTTTCCGAATACCGTCACATAACCTACAAGTACGTGATAAATTGTCGATTTGGGCGTATACTTGATAAGTTTCAGTTTCTCAATAAGCTAAAGTAGTACTTGTTATTCGAATCTCAGTAAACACGTAATCTGAAATTTGTCGAGCCATGTACAAGCTGTGGAAGAAATATCACGACCCATAACGTTTTCACTATCATGTCACTCGCAACAAAATTATTGGCCGAACAACCCTAGTTGGAACAATTGGGGGAAACAAATGAGAACTACCCAAATGAGCCAAACAAACGAAGGGTAATATGCCTCGTTTTTCTACTCTGCTATATAAATCAGAGAATTGTGTTCTTACAATATATAGAAGCAAACCAAATAAAAGAGTAGCTGTTCTAAGTTCTAAGCGTAAATTTGTGAAAATTGATAAAAAGTAATAAAAAATTTTACTGGAATTTATTCAATTCTATAACAGCACAAAATTTGGAGTTGATATGACGGATCAAATGGCTGGAAAATAAACAGTAAAAGCCAGTTCTCGTAGATGGCCCCTCCAAATATTTTTCAATATTTTAGATTTGGTTGCTATAAATGCTTGAATCCTTTACAAAGAAACGACAGGAATACAAATACAACGAAAAGAGTTCTTGTTTCAGTTAGCAGAACAGCTTTCCACCGAATACAGAGCTGCATGACAGAAAAAATCATCAGAACATAAATACTCACAAAGATCAACTGCAACATCATCAAATGCAACCCATTCTAACAAACGCAAAATTTGTTAAGTACGACTGTACTTAACAAATTTTGCGTTTGTTAGAATAGGTCGGCTGCATGGGTGTTTTCGAGGTGTTTCCCGTATAGAACATGAACAGACATATTCCCTTAGATAGACCTGTACAGAAGGTATCCCTCTTTTGATAGATAACCCCAATATGCTTTGCAGTAATCAACCTTTTGGTGGTCATCAACAAGCTCAGCTCGCGTTCCAGTTAAGTACCGCAGTGGGCGCAAACGAAAGCAGCTCGCATTGCAGATTTACGACTGACAGATACCGCGGCGTATTTGGAAAGAAGGAATTGCTTAACCTAGCAACCTCCGAAAAATTGATAAATTAATCCAATCATTCGCAGCATACCTTAAATATTCATTAAATAAATGCGAACAAGACATGGATGAAATAGAAATTTACAAAAAATCTGTCTTTTAAATAGATGAGAGTATTTATACTAGTGACAAACTGCAACTCCTAGGGTTTGTCAGATACACTCATGATTAAAGATATTAGCGATCATTCCTCAGCATGATGAGGAAACCAGATTCATAGGTCCTGATACTTTTGTTTCTGTTACTTTTTATGTCAATGACTATAATATTTCATTGAAAGTCTCTTATGAAATATGCACATTAGTGCATCATAAATGCGAGGAAACGCCGAGGTTCAAGCTCTAATGAAAATTTCATCTGTTATAAAAACTCAATATTTTCTTTCAGCGGCATTGTTTTCTAAAGCGTGTGGGAAAGAGCTTAGTTTTTAACCAGATTGTGAGATTGGTAAACTACTGCAAGTCTCAACCACTGAAATGCAGAACACTTTAACAGTTATGTCAGGAAATACATGTACATGGAATGTAGATTCGATTTACACCATGTTAATGTTGCAAACCGAAGAAATGTAGTCATAGTGAGGATGTGTATTGAACCGATTTCTCTAAGTAAAAGTGAAAAAGTTTTTTAAACATGAAAATCAAGACTTTTATTAATAGTTAATAAATGATTCTTATTACTCACTGTCATATCTCGTAAATATATCTGAATTAGTTAAATGAACTGAATGTTTCCATAGCTTTGTAGTTCAAGCAGGCGTGATCCGTCAAATTAGTCCATGACAAAATATTATAACTAGTATAAACTATAAATTTAAATTTCTTATTTCCAATTTCAATTCTAAAAATGTTTCATGCGAATATCAACTTTTTATATCATTCGACAAAATTCACATCAGCTTTAGTATCTGAAAATAAATAAAAATATTTTCTATGCTTTGCATGTTTTTTAAACAAAAACTAATCATAAACAATAAAATCAGTATTTATTGACATTTATGTTTCAAAATTATTGCGATACTTAGACACTTTTTTGCGAAAAACATGTAAATTTTCTGTAAATATTTCATAATTATAATATTTAGCGGTAACCTTTATGTGGGAATTGTTACTAGGGTACCCTACTTGTCAAATGGTTGTAAAACATCTTTAAGGAAGTCAGCAAACGTAAACATTACATTTGGAATGTGTATATTTTAATAATGCGTTTGCGTGCCAGATGTAATTGCTGATTTGTCGTGGCACTCCTTTATATCGCCTGCATGTATTTAGATACTAAAAACTTAAAAATTGTTCAACAACCAATTCAGAAGCCTTTGACTTAGGCTATTTTATCATGGGCTATTTTGTAGTGGGATGTTTTGTCGGGGTACCTCTGGCAGGATATAAATATCTAAGAGAGCTGAAAGACTTCACTGTTGGTCACTTATCAAGACTTGAAAATGCGACAGCTATGCACTTTCAAACTCTTTTCATTGAGAATTTCGACTAAATAGTGCTGAAGAGACATTAGGTATTTTTTTGGAAGCAGGCAAGATGAAAAATGAGCAATCGCCTTCGCCTGGAATCGAACCACGGACATCTGGAACATCGGCCCAGCGTGCAGAACCACTACACCACGAAGGCACGCTAGGAAGGCGGGAGAAATACCTTATATACTCCTCCTTTTAAAGGGCGACTGGGGTTTTTAGGTGATCCAATCGCCAAATCCTGAGCGAGGAGAATCATCATCCAACACCCCCTTTTTTTTTAGTTCGGGCGCCACTGTAGAGACATTAGATATTTTTTTGGAAGCAGGCAAGATGAAAAATGAGCAATCTCCTTCGCCGGGAATCGAACCACGGACATCTGCAATACCGGCCCAGCGTGCAGAACCACTACACCATGAAAGCATGCTAGGAAGGCAGGAGAAATACCTTATAGTGCAACCAATCGATTTTGCACACATTGCAAAGAAGTTAGATTATACAGCTTGTAAACAATATGGATTATTATCTCAGTGCTAATTCCACATTCAGAGTTCATTTCACCAAGAATGAGGCATCGGTGGCTGTTTGTTTGGCTTGGACTAGCAGAAGATTACACAAACTAATGAAGAACATAATGGATACACTTTTGCCCTTTCCAACTTAATATCTGTATGAACGGGCATTTTTTTTGGCAACAATAAAATCTAAAACACTGATTAGACAGTAAAATTTTGAGAACGATATGCATGTTTGATTATCAACTATAAGGTCTGATAACATCTGTGCTTTAAGTATCACAAGTCTCATATTAAACTAATAAAACCCTATCCAGTGATTTCCATTGCCGTTGTAGAGAAAATAGGTATTTTGGAAGCAGAAAATATGAAAAATGAGCAGTGCCCTCGCCGGGAATCAAACCACGGACCTCTGAAATACGCGCCTAGCTTGCAGACCACCACACCACGAAGGCATGCCAAGAAGGCGGGGGAAATACATTATACAGTAAAGTGTATCCTGTAATGATTTTTTTGTAATATTGTTTTTTAATAAATGAATAAAATTACTACTGATAGTTATTTATATAGAAATTTAACTTGTTACAGGTAACGTATCTAATTACGATTTGAAATTAAAAATTATAAAACATTCTAACAAAGCTGACGCAAATTTCTAATTTTATTTCCAATGATATCATGAATTTTAACAGTCTGAGAAAACCTGGCATTTACTATTACACATAAAGACAGGGAAAGTTGTATTAAGGTAGGACTTTACAATAGTCGTCCCTGTTTGGATATTTAACATTCGTACCGAAAAAGGTTGTAAAAGAAGCTCAGTATTCAATTAAGTTGGATATCTTATCATGTACAAAACTCAAATGTTTGAACACAACTTCTATCTCAAAATTTTTGAACATTACTTCTGTCTCAAAATACTCCTTAAAAAGGAAATAAATGATTAACGGATGGAAACGAAAGAAGACGAACGTAAAGAAGTTAGATTATATAGCACAGTTATGACTTATTTGTAATTTCACACAATTATTGTCTTAATGCCTTTATCCTTTTTTTTTTTTTTTTTTTTTTTTTTTTTTTTTTTTTTTGATAGCACTTCTTTCGGGAGGTACTTGTTCAGTAAACTGGCTAACTAGGCAAAGGCAAACTGGAAGAATTTAAATGTTTAACAAGAAGCTGATGGAAACACAAATGTGAAAATACATTAAGCATCTCTCTGCAGCTAAATAAAAGAAGTATATAAAAGTTCAACACCTTTTAAAAAATTTACCTTTCACACCAGCTGTATTGCACATTGCGGCAAATGTTAGTGACTCCATTTCTATATTGACAACACCTTCTTCCTTCAATTTCTTTAAATAGAATACTTTGTCTTCTTGAGTGTATTCACAAAAGGCTCCATCCAATCTTCCCTGCCCTGAAATATACAAAGAGTAATTTTAATAGAGCTTCGTGTTCAAGCTTTAACCTATCAGATATAGTATTTCTTATATAGAATACGACAGAGAATTTTGGCTAGTAAATAATGAGGAGCATCTCAGGTTTTGCTAAAAAATATGCGAGTTTTCATCATGGGATTACACATAATATTCTCAAGAAGTATGGTCATTAAGATTTAAAAGTAAATAAATGAAAAAAATATTTATTTTAATTTCACGTTTATTTATTTATACTTTTGCTTTAGCTAGAAATTTTAAAAAGTCTTTGTTTCAGGATTGCACGCGCCAAGCAATTTTCTATTGAAAATGCTTGTGCTAGAACTACTGCCCCCAAAAAAGTCTTTTCGTCATATTTGAGGTTTATTTATATGAATTATGTGAAGATGCTGGAATAAACTTTGCTAGCTAAGCATTCTTCTGAAAAGAACGAAACCCATTGATAATTTAACTGTTTCTGTACACAACTCAAACGTAATGGGCTGTAACTTTTTAAAATTTTATTTTCATAAACTTTACACCGTTTATAACCACTCGCAACCATGAGTTCTATTAATATTTTTTTCAAATGTACAATCTCACGAGGCAGTCAACGCATACGAAAAGCACGGCTTGCAAGTATCGTGATACATGCGCAGACGCTACAGTCTGGCTCGTTGGCCGGGCTCCTAAGATGGTGACCGATTTTACACTCACGAGAAAGGAGTTCCGTCTCAATTCTGTTGAAGAACATCCTGGTATCTGCTCCTTTTCGTCTATTACATTCACCCTGTCTCGGTTTACACCCACGAGAAAGGAGAAGTTCCGACTCATTTCTTTCGGAGAACATCCTGGGAGACGGATGTGAGGGTTTTCTACCCCTTTTCACCTTTTGCGAACCTCTCGAGAGGACTTTCGGCTGGACTGTGTTTTAAGTGCCCAAATGCCGCAAAGACATTATGCCTTTATAAACATCTATACCTTTTACGGAAACCATCATGCCAGCAGGGTGGCTATGAAAAAACATAAAATGTTAACTGAAAAGATCTCAGTTGGCACTGTTGCCCATTGGTCATTTTTAAATTAAATTTTCATGACAGTTTTCTTATTTCCAGAATATTTTCATTTAAAAGTTCTTAGTGTGTCATTATATTTTAATTCTTTGCTTATTGAAATAATTAATCTAACAGATGTATTTCTTTTATTTAGAAAAATTATGCCATTAAGTTGTCCTATAGCGGAAAATATCCGAAAAGAGAAAGTTGAATGCCGAATTGATTTATCTGAATTACTGCTCCGGATTCTCTTTGGATTTCCAGAGGAAAATCTAGTTCTTGTGAAAAATTAATTCCCACAACATTCTATTCATAAATTTGAAATTCTGTTAAAATTAAGTTTTATGATAGATCGAACTGTTTTCAATGTCTTCGAGCACTGTAACATACTAATTGTAGAAAAACAGCGAGAAAATCGAGAAAAGTGGATTTATCTGTTCTGGGTCGAGTTGTTACGATAATTGAATACTGGGATTTTAACTTGGGTTCGATTCCACGTTGAACGGACTGTTTGCATGGTTAGTTTTTGTGGTTCATTATAAGTGCTTCATGCGTAAATAAACATGAGACATTTTTTCCTCTCTAAGCCTTATATGAACGCATCTCTTCCCTTAGGCAGATAGTCTTCGTTCATTCGCCATATTCAAATAATCTAACCTATTCTGGTTCGGCTTCGTTAACTAATTACATTAGACCATAATACGCAGGATCGGATTAAGTAATTCTGGAGCTCCCGCAAACTGTAAAATGTGGGCCTCCCTAACGTGGTACCCTTTAAAATTGCATTTTCTATAGCATGTTTAGATACGGCATTTTATTACCACTAATCATTTTATTTCGAAATTACGTTATATACAGGCACTTACGTAATATATTTTATATATTAACAATTTAAAAAATTATGTAATTTTTCATACCCGAATAAAATACAACCACAATTAGAAGAAAAAAACCCTTTAACGCGACATTTTTTTCCCCTAAATTACGCTCATCGTTGCTTCAGAAGAAACTGTTCTTTTAGTTCAAAGGGACAATTTGCCCTGAAGAACTATTATTTTCGTTTTGGCATTTTGCGTTGGTTCACTATAAATGTCCGATTCACTTTTTAAATTGTTACCACCAAATATTATCGGCCTGTATTATATTTAAAGAAATTAAATAACGATGAAGAATTTGCATAAATGTATGTATGTTTCTCGCACTGTTATTAAACAACGGTACCTAGAGCCTTCCAATTTTGAATAACGTACGTTTCAATCCGAATATGGGCATCTGGAAATCCAAATTTGGAATTTGTTTTATTATCTATTTCATATTTTGTAAAACTTTAACGAATTTTTGATTAACAAACTCGACGATTTCAAAGCGAGCAATGGCAACGCTGTACGGGGGGGGGGGCTTTTTATTTTCAGCGCGCGGAAGTGTGTATAGGAAATTGTAAACATATTTAAAACTATTTTGAGATATTGCTGTTGAAGTGAATTTTATGGTTTAAGTGAGAAGAACATTATATTTAATAAATAAAAACTCACAAAACGTTAGGAAAAAAAAAGCCTCTTTGGACGTAATTTAAAATCTGAAACCTTTCAGATTTTAAATTACGTCCAAATCTGAATAATTTCAGATTTTTAATTTTTTTTTTTTCTTTTTAAATTTCTGCACTTGGTATGAAACTTCCTAAATACACGGGATGAGTTTGAAAAAGGTGGGCAAAACGTAACAGAGTGATAGAATGCAGCTAGACAAGCCATATTCGTCATAGAAAGTTTGAAAAAGAAAGAAATAGAAACGCAAACGTCGGGCCGCTAGATGGCATTGTAATTGGTATAAAAAACGTTCGGTCCTCTCACCCAACGACATTTTCTACCGTGAATTGCTGAGAAGAGGGCTCGTTATACGAACCACGAAATTTTCAGGGCGATGGATTCGTCGAGGTGGTCCCATAGCTTGGCCACCAAGATCACCGGATCTCTCGTGTTTGGACTTTTCCTGTGGTGCGTTCTGAAAAGCCTAATGTACGAGTGCTCCGTTGAAATCAAAATGGATCTAGTCGTTAGGATCGCCGTTGTTGCCGACAATGCTCAGGAAATGTCTGGTGTCTTCGCAAATGTGCGTCAGTCCCTACCCTGCAGGTGTGAAGCCTGCATCACAGCTGGCGGAAGACCTTTTCAGAAATTTCTTTGAGCATGTACATCAATTACATTCCTGTTAATAAAATGTTTTTCTGAAGTATCTATTCTTATTCTTCTGTTAATTCTTTAAATCTGGCAGTAGAAAATTACCTTTTAACTTATCGCCGTTTTCGCTCCGACCACACATTCTATGACGAATATTGCTCGTATAGCTGCGCTCTGTCATCCCGTTAAGTTTGGCCACGCTTTCAGATTCAAAAACCCTGTATAACCAGCCTAAATATATAACCGATACCATTTTCAATAATAGCCTTTCCATAATAGCATTTTCCAAAGCCATTTACTTGGACTAAGTAACACACAGCATTTCATTTATAAGTTTTACTTTCTTTTGAATTAATTTATTGACATGAATAAGAATATTGTATCAGATCACAAGGCATGAAGAAAATCGAAATATTGGGATTTCTTTTGACAAGTTAGATGCCTTACTGAAACAGATGAGGTTCTTTTAAAATTTTGAGCTCTTCTGAGAAATATATTATATTCTCAAGCTTGTACTAAATAGAGTTAATACTTTCAGCTCTCGTTTCCCATCTCATTTCATAGAATGGTTTCAGAGTAATTGCACATGACTAGTCAGAATTTCTCAGTGTTTCATAGATGCAGAAAATAGTAAGCAGTCGTTAGCCCCACAGATGCCCAGACAGAAAAGTGGTTAGGGAGACTGCCATACCGAAGGACCCGGGTTCGAATCCCGCAAAAGGCATTGATGTAAATTGTCTGTCCATTCATAGGAGGCAACAGTGGCCATCCATTAGGTGCATCCATGGTAAAGTGACCACCGCTTCCTGTTTTAGTAGTGGGCAACAACTATAGCACCTAGTGCCCGTCATTGCCGGAAAAAATGGCTTTAGCTCCACACTTAAAACAGTAGTATTTCCTTTTTCTATCTTTGTTCTTTACAAATTGAAGAATGTTTGCCATATTCGGTTTGTGAGAATTTTATTGCTTTTGTCGCTTGCTTTATTTCCCGGCCTATTATATTGTTTACAGTTTACTGTCATCTTAAGTTTTCTTTAAGCTTTTACTTAATTTGCTTTACTATCCTGATCTTTCCTTAGAAGAATCCCCAACAGAATTTTCTCTTTACGCTTTAACTACTAGACAGACGAAGTCTACGTTTGATAAGACACTATGCAAGCAAGAGCTACGTTTACCAGAAGTCATGATCGATAAATATATTTATATGGTCACGTAAATAATGGTTTGGAATTTGTGCCGTCTGGAATCTATTTCATATACTGCAAAAATATTCTAGATGAAAAATGTATGTCCGTAGACACTAATGCATTGTAAAATCTAACTGTGGAAAAGATTTTTTTTAGTCTTCTGTTTGCATTCTGTCTAACTTGAGAACAACAGTAAATATATTAAAAGCATATCGTCTCTGAAAGGATATTCCTTCGTTTCTGCTGGTAATATTTCCGAAATTACGCAATATAATATGAATAGTTTCGAGGAAGACCAACTGAAAAGAAAAAGAAGCTTTAGAAAAGTATTTAACTTCTAAATTTCTAATTGGAAGACAAAAACACCAACGCGAAATTTAAAATTACAGAACAAACAAATAAAAAAAACATTAGCTTGGAATAGATTTTGAATAAATTTCTATCGATTTCAAACGCGTTGCTCCTGAAGAAGACGGACCTACAGATTGTCAAAAAAGCATTCGACTTGACTAATTAATGTCTTTAAAATGATATAAAGGCATAGTACTGATTATTTATTGTTAACCTTCTTTTACTGTAATCTTTATCAAGGTCTATACTCTAGTTATTGAATGAAAAATCTTATTTGAAAATACAAATTTGATTGGGATAAAAGCGACTTCTTTGTAAACGACCTGCTTAAAAGTTATTCGAATCTGGTAATTCTTAGGTAATTTGAAGTGTTACAAAGTTTAAATTAACACTTAAATACATACTTAAATGTTACAAGATTATTGTCTTAAGGTTGTTTGAAAATTTTGTGCCTGAATCATAGTAATTTCTGCAATTTTAAAAAGGAAACTTAAAAATATCTCGGAAAGGAAAAGAAACGAAGCTGCAATTGAAGAAAGGGAAATAGTAATTCATATGAGAAAATTTGGAGAAACATATGAGAAAACTGCTTAGACTATTAAAAGATCACTTTCAACTGTAAAACTCGTAGTAAAAGGTATCTAGAGTCAACGAATTTTGTAAACGGGACAAGAAGCAAGCGACCAAAAATATTAACCAGGTAGGATAAACGACATCTCTTCAGCAAGTTAAAATGATTCGACATTATGGCGATCCGGAACTAAAACTCCTGATTAAGAAAGAAGTTTATACCCAAACTGTAAGAAATGTCCTAAAAGAGTTCTGTTATGAAAGAAGTTCAGCTCGAAAAAAATATTGCATTTTGAAGTTAAAAAGAACGAAAAAAAGCTATTATTTGCGAAAATATGTAAACAAGCCCCTAGACTTTAGGAAAAAGGTTATATGTCGTGATAAAAGAAAGTATAACTTATTTGGAGCAGACGATAATCGTAAGGTATGGAAACAACCAAATAAAGAATTTGATTTAAGAAGTCTTCGACTGACAGTAAATCATGGCAAGCTCTACCAATATATATATATATATATATATATATATATATTGCTGCTCTACCAAGCCAAAGAACTGCTTTGGCGAGAATCGTGCAATACCCAGAGCTTTTCCGGATGCCTGCCTCCTCGTTCACCCGACTTATATCCCTGTGATTTCTGGTCGTGGGGATTCCTAAAAGACCGTGTTTATGGAGTACAGTCAGGTTTTCAAAGAAACATATACTAGTCACGAGGATATAACTTCTGTAACTTCTTTTAATTATTAAACCTCAAACTGGCAATTTTTGTCCTATTCAAATGTGACTTGCCTAAGCATTTATTCGCAGGCCTTTTTCTGTTGAGAAATTTGAAAGAATATATAGCCATATGATTAAGGCCCACCAGCGACCGAGTAGTAACGTCGCTGAACACTGGTAGTTCGAGCTAGGTTCCATTCTAGGCGAATGGGTTGGCTGCATGGGCATTTAAGTGATTTTCCCCTTGTCTAAGGTGGATACGAGCCAGTTTTTCTCAGAAAACGTTCCGCCAAGGCAACCCTGCGTCAAGCAGATAGCCCTCGAGTGCTTTCCCATAATCTAATAAAGCAGACAAAAACTAAGCACATGGTTAAAAAATCCATAATGAATGCGATAAATATAATGTTAAATATCATTGCAATTTACCTTCATAAAAATCATCCGCACACATTGTTTTACCAACAACTACCGTACAATCTTTCAAGTATTTATCTGCAACTATCTTTAATTCTTTAGAAAGTTCTTCATCTAATGTGCTTGGGCGCTGGATCTTTTCTCCTAGAACAACCTAAACGAAGTAGAAAACAAATGCTATGTATATATTATTTTAGGATTTACAAGACAAAATACAGTAGTAATACAAGACAAGAACTTTACTTTTTAAGTTGTTAAATTTATTATTCAAGAAACGTAGATCATAAACTTCAGGGAATAAAATATATATTACTTATACAGAGTAATCTCTTCTAAAATCAGCTAAATAAATTATCTGTACTTCAAGGAATTTACGAAGTATTATAATGCAGTTAGCCTAGACAAGTATAAAATTACGGCATACGTTTAAAATTTTTATTGTGCTATTTTCTAGTTAAAGGTACATCATTTAGGCAGCACTGAATGCATCTTTCGAACCATCATGAAATCTTAAACATGACACTACTTCCGAACTATACTCTTTTGCTAAAAAATCGGAGCACCAAGAAGGACTTTTGAGATCGAGACGGAATTCGGCATGCAAAAACATCTTGATCGAACATGCAAATGATCAAAGTTTCAAGGCAAATGAACAGAAAATGCGATCATAGCGCGCATTTCTTTCAATTCACAAAGTATAAAACCAGAAACAGAAGCGGAAAATTTACCATCTTCTGTTGCTGCCATTGTAATTCCGTAAAGAAGCAACTAAAGATGCCATTACGACGATATAGAAGACCTTACAGACAACTAATAGACTTCGAACGTGATCGCATTGTAGGGATGCGCGAAGCTGGGTGGGCATACCGAGAAATAGGCCGCCACCTGTAGCGTACAGACACTGCTGTGCAAAGATGTTGGCAGCAATGGTTGCTACAAGGAAATTGCCGACGAAATGAAGGCTCTGGAAGGCCAAGGAGCACAAATGCGAGGCCAAGATAGGATGATGGTTTGCCAGGCCCAAACAGCCCAACGGTATCATTGTCGACTATTCAACGCACTACAGCCACGTCTATACCTCTCGTGGTACACCTCACGGCGCTTGTCTGAGGCGGGGTTACGCTCACAGACGCCTTTAAGACATCTGCCTTTGACTCCACAATATCGGCGGAGTCGTCTTGACACCACACATTCGGTGTCTCAGCCGATCATCATCAATCTACCATCAGACTGACATCGTATAGTGTTCAGCGATGAATCTCGCTTCTTTCTTCAAGCAGATGACACCGTGTTCATGTCTGGAGAGGACGGAGCAAGCGATCCCAATCAACCTTTGTTTTGCAAAGGCATACAGCCATAACCCCTGGTGTGAATGGTGTGGGGCGCTATTTCTTACGACAGCAGGTCATCTTTAGTCATCCTCCGTACATCTTTAACAGCTCAATGATATGTCGATACCATCCTGCAGCCGGTTGCATTACCATTCACGGCACGTCATTCTGGGGCCATTTTCCAACAAGATAATGCCAGGCCACATACCGCTTGCATATGTCTGGACTGTCTCCGTGCGGTTGATACTCTTTCTTGGCCAGCAAGGTCACCAGACCTTTCACCAATCGAGCTTGTCTGGGACATGGTAGGCCTCCAGATTCGGACACCACAAAACATCGCAGATCTGGAGCGACAACTGATGAAAGCCTGGCAGAATGTGCCGCAAGATGACATCAGAAACCTCTACCACTCCTTGCCTCGACGAATTGAGGCATGCATTGCCGCCAGGGGCGCTTCGACCAACTACTAATTTGAACACTCAATGGTGATTGTGAGCCGTGAACAGGTACTATGACCCTGATTTTTTAATTATTTTGTTATCTGTGTATGACCTATACACATATTCAATTCCATCCAAAAAAAAACTTCCTTCATTGTGCTTCGAATTTTTTGCAAAAGAGTGTATTACTGTCACAGATGAACATCATACAAACCTGACAACACTTTTCCTGATTTACAAGAAAGCCCACCATTGGAATTTGAGATATTTTTGCAATAGGAGCTTCGCTCCATGTTGTTTTTCTTGTAAACAACAGTTCTTACTATCGACATTTTGGAGAGAAGCTCGCCACTTTCAATAAGAAGGACATTCAGATATCTACGCCTAAACCCCTGAGATTTTTGGACACTTTTAATCTAGCACGAGAGAAGATTAAGATAGAGAGCATTCAAATTTCACTAGCAAATTTAAAATACATAAACAAATGCTGTGCCTGTTGTTTATCCGTCTTAGCTTCTTTTCACGCGCTACTGAATAAAGATGGCTGTCAGAAGGAAGCCTGTACTTTGTGTGGCGGAAGTAACTGTAGATGAAAACATGAAGAACATTTGCTTAGTAATCCTTAAGTGATTTTATGCAATTCTGCACCAACTACTTTAAGGTTCACTGAATCACAAGTTTTTTAAAATATTTAATTTACTGACTTTTCAATCACTTTGTATTTTAAAAAATAGCTGAGAAAAATGCACACACAGTAAAGTTTTTGTTGAGAAAAGTTTCTAGGATTCCTTCTAGTTAATAATACAAAAAGCAAGGTATTACAAGTGGAACAAGAGGATTTTTGAGAAGTCGACGTTAAAGCTCAGCAATAAATGAAGCTGAATTCCGTTTCCTAAACTATTGAAATAAGTAATAAATATATTTAAATCATGAAATAAATATTAGATAATGGAAAAGGTTTAATTTAATACTTTGAAACTATATTTTCAACAGCAGTTTTACAATATTATCTAGTTTATGAACTTTAGTGTTTCTTAATACTATTTCTTCCCTAGATAAAAGAGTTTTCAAGGCCTGCGTGCCCTTCATTAACATTTTAATTATATGACCTTGCTTTAACAAAACATTCAAAGTACTTCATTGCTGTATCTTAATTTCTGCTTATATCTTATCACGCACGAATAAGAGTAGCAAACAGCTTTTCACTCACCAGTTCTTGATATGGCCTAAGCATACCATCAACACTGACACTTGTTATGACTACACTACCAGGCGGTAACCCTGAAAGAAGATAATACTGTCTATAATATTTCGAAGATTGTTGTCAAATTTTTATATTCCACAAATAACCATGCATTCATGGGACTTTCTTGGGTGTTTTGAATGAGCATGACGTTTACTACGTTATGTGTATCTACATAAGTCCTTGCAACTAAAACTATACAGGCAATCTGGTGTAGAGTGAGAATCAAATTGTCAGCTGTGTATCCAAAGTCAAAACTTCTTTCAATCATCGTTTGGAATATTTTTCATCGTTTGGAATCATCGTTTGGAATTCATCGTTTGGAATGCGTATACCACAAGCGCTTTGCTAATTGAGCTATCCGAAGCAGTTTAATCAGTTTAAAAGAATTTCTATTTAACCACGAGGCTCGTGTAATTTGAATTAATTGTCATTACGTAACGTGATGGGGAAAATGCACTGTTGTTAAACATAAAAAATAATTTTGCGAATCATAGTATAAAAATGAAGAAAAACAAGAACATATATCCTAAAAAAACTGCCATCTGAAAATTTTAGACTACAATCAAAGGGATGTTTTTCATTCAAAATTTCAAAACATTAATTAAAACATGATATAATTTTACTAAAGATGTTCTGTAGTAATTGTGTAAGGTATAGCTGCGTAAGTCGAACATCCTAATAAAAAATAGGTAAAGATCGTAAGGTATATAAAATAAATAAAACTTATGTGTAGTAATAATATTTTGTGTCATCGTTGCTGATATGTATTTACAACAAAATTCCATACACTCTACTCTGTTAAATAAAATTAATAAAATCTATGAACATGAACTCAATACGACTTAACAGCATTCTAAGTCGTACCACCTATAGCTTAAGTTGCACTACGTATAAATTTGGGCAATTATATTAAAACTATCTTTTTCTCAATTGATTTATTTATGCAATTAATAAGAACGATGATCACAAAGATATTTAGTTATTTTTTCATTTTCTGTTGAACTTTAGTACATAAGTCTTATATCTATCCTTTGCATTTTAGGCACTGAATCATATTCTCTTCGCGGTCTTTTTCACAAATATTACACGGAGACAAACAATATGTGAAACAGTTTGATTGACAAGGGGTAACTCAATTTTCCAGAAGATGCGCAGTTGGCGTGATATTACGCCTAATATTTAAAAGGTATGACTTAAACGGTGATAAGACTTGGACAACCTTACCCTAATACGTGAGAGAAACTTCTTTTGCTAATAAAAATGAAGATTTTAATAACATTTATCAGTCTGCTGTCATATAAATTAAAACGATTTTTAATATCTGTCAAATGGATACATTATTAAAAAGATTATAACTGTCCAGACTATAAGGTTATAACTGTTCAGAAGCGCATTTGTTGCTTTTAAATTGCTTAATTTATTAATGAATACTGGACTAATTAAACTTGAAAAGTAAATTTGACAAATTCCAATACTCAAAAGATCTGCTTGCTGTGTGCGAGGAGGAGTAGAAGATAAATTAAAGGTCTTATACAACGCAATAGCAACGCTTCTCAATACAAGTAGATGATAAATTCTGTTTCCAAACTGTTTTCGTACTTCGCCAACAAAATTCCTATCCATGATCATGTCTAAGGAATATTATTTTATTTCTTCAAGGCGAGATTTTACATGTCGTTTGAAAGAGGTACAATTTGGAAGATATTCTTTATGCATTTTTTGGGGGAGGGAAGTAAAAGTCCGTATTCAATTTATTCTAGTTGTGAGGGTGGAATGTGAAGATCTGTAAGGGAAAGACTAACGTATCAAACATTAAAATTATCTACATATACGTAAGCTAAAATTCTAAACTTTTTTAATTTGTAACGGCCCTTTAAATTTCCTTTTCACTTTGGTTTATTCTTTCTTTCTAACCTTAGAGCAGTAAAATCTTTACAATAAATCTTTCCAAACTTTTTTTCACATCTCTTTTCTTCTTATTTTTCCTTTTCAAAAGTAATCTCTGTCACACAATTTTAATTTAACGTTCACGATTCATGTACTTACATAATAGATAAAGTTAAACTAAATCCTTTGAGCCAATAATAATGCTAAATTTACAAACTAAAACTCTTATTCAACAAACAGAAGTGAAGCAGAAGTATAACTTCAATATTCGTAATATATATTTCAACTTCGATTTATTCTCACGCTTTTCTTTGCTGCTGCAATGTAATCAGTCCTTTCCTTTTTCTACCCCACTGCAATTATATTGCTGTAAATGCGTAAAACATTACGCATATTATTATTGAAGAGTGTCTGTAGGCCTGTTTAACGTCACCTTAAATTTTTCATTCCACAATATGTATATATATATATATATATGTGTGTGTGTGTATACTGCAGCCAAAGCCTTTTCGTCAAATTAGCAAATCTTCATAGCACTTGCAGTTAAATGACATCCGAAGAATTTATTCTAACATTTTATGCCGAACTTATGTTTCAGCTTCTACAAATTACTTCGCCTTTTTCTACAGTTGTGAGTATTTTCATAAATGCAATTAATATAATGCATCGATACGACTGCTGAAATGAAGATAGGAGGAAATGTTTGGCAGCAATCACTATTACGAAAAGATTAAAATACTAATCAAGGGAAGGCGGGAGAGATGTTCGGGGAAATTATATGTAACTGCATTATAAATTTCTCCACATAAAATAGAATGTTTCTCTGAATGCTACGTAGAAAAGAATAGATTAATTAAGACATATTAATTATATACTTAATAATTTTTCTATGAAAATCTCCTATTTTTTGGCTTCACTTATTTTCAGATCATAATAAGAATAAAAATATGTTTGAAGCTAAATGCACCGAATATTGAAGTGCTAAAATTATATTTTTTAAATTAAATACATTTATTTAATACTCATCGTTTGGAATGCGTATACCATCTTTAGTTTTCTAGTTATACTAAAAGAAAGCATTCAAGTCCGAATATTCATCCAGAATCTCCAATGTTCCAGAAAATAAAAAGAATGACGGTGGAAAGGAAAATAGTTTATAAATATTTGCACATAGATTCAGAACCTCTTTATAGCACACTTTAATCAACTTCGGCATTATTCTTCAATTAAGGGGGTCACATTGCTTAAATTAAAATAAATTAACGCAACTATAAATTTCTTATTCCTCATTATTTTGCCAGTATCCTATCTAGTTTGAGCATTGGCCTAACTAAGAACTCTCCCCCCCTCACATTTTCGGTTATAGTGGAAATTCTCAGCATTATGTAATTAAAGATTTATAAGAGAATTTAAAGACTACGCTATTTGACCACTGATCATTTCATGAATATTCTTGCTTAATAAAAAAAAAGCATTGAAATGGAAACTGTCACGACAAAAATTAATTAAAAAATAATACTAGTATGTCTGAAGGTAATGAATCAGAATCCAACAGTTGAGTAAGTAATTGTACCTTAATTCATTCCGTCGCTTAGGTCTACATCAACGTAGTATGATATTAAACCTGCTGTTTAGATAGAAGCCAATGAGTTCATAACCTATCCCTCTGGCTGGGCTTGGAAGTTAATTCTTAACATATTGGCTGAGTAACTAAGTCTAGCTAATGATCGTAAATTAACGAAGCAGGTTCCTAACTGACTTCTTCTTTGTGGATATGCAATGACTAGATTCGCCAGTAGTTACTTTACTAACAATTACCGGACCTTTTCATTTTTTATAAAGCCTTCTTCGAACAAACTGAGATAGGCGGTTTAGGGCACAGATTTATTTAAAACCATCTGAATTGATTGCTCTTGAAACATAGTCCCTCAATTTGAGGAACTCGTATATAAATTGACTAACTTTAACCATTTATTGCTTCCATCTAATCATCGCCCAGCAACTTACTCAAAGACATTAATGATACTTTTAGAGTGGAGCAAGCTTGCGAAACTGGACTGCGTTTGAGAGACGGATACCCATTATGCTTTTTTTTTAAATGCCATATAACTTCGGACCTTAAGCCTAATCGATTTCAAATATGGTTAAAAAGAAGGGCTATTACTCATGTAACATACTAGATTTAAAGTAGTCACAACCAAAGAGCTCAACTGAGTTAACTCACTTTGCTAGTTCAATTAATTAATATTAACATTTCGATTTTTGTGAGAAAGAGTTTCAATAAAATTCCATATCATTTACGAATAACACTGCTACAAAATTTCATCCATGGAAAATATAAAATGACTGAAACATGAAAAAGGTGTTTAATACTCATCTTCATTTGTTTTTGCAGTAATTCAGTGCTACTCTTTTCTTTTCCTACCATTTTATGAAAGCTTGGTGTCATATTTCAAACTGCAAGGAGGAGCCAAACAGTGTTCAGATCACTCAAGCAAGAACACTGTTTGGTTTAGTAAGTTTCATCATCGAACATATTTTTTTCTTAAACGTAAATGTTACCAAACATTCAAAGTACTTGCTAGGTAACCTTTGCCAATTTTTTTAATATATCTTTTATCTGCATGATATTAAAACCCTAAAAATATCTCACCGTATTCTTCTCTAGATTGCTCTCAGACCACTAAAAGCACTAGTAACTTACACTTCAAGTTCCACAAATACATCTTTTGCTTTAATGGAGAATGGATATGGACTAGGTTTTCTCGGGCAGAAGTGCTACGCGCTTTCTACATTTTTTACACATTTTAAAAATGATGTGTTCTTTAAATACACTACCTACAAAAGAGGAAAGTGAGTCATGCACCCTTAGCAGATATATATGAATTTCAGAGCAGAAAAGAAATTTTCAATCCTTCAAGGGAAGAATACTTTCAAAACAGACACTATTTTTCTGCATCTCGAAACAATGAATCGTCATTGATTTTCTGATTTCAAATATACAACTAGTATGTCATGGACTTTTTCGTGCTATTTTTCCAGCAGTTTTCAGACGTTGAGTATCTGAACATTAAGAACGCTATTATCCTCTCTTCCTCTGATCTAGTTTTTGCATTATGATGAATGCTAGTTAGATGTTTGTGTTTCGTTTCAAGTGAGAAACTAAATATATAATTCATGTAAAATTAGGTATGTAACGATTGTCATAAAATATACAATCTGTGCGACAACTGACAGAAAATTTCTTGCCAACAGTTGAATCCACTGGAGAAGTACAGAAAATTAGCGCAAATCTCTTTTCAGTTTATGTTAGAAGCATGCATCAGTTTTAATTACGTAATTGGGTTCACCAGCCGCCGAGTGGTAAAAAGTCGCTGAACATTGGTTTTTGGAAGTGTGTTTTATTCCAGAACAACGGGCTGACTGCATGGGCATTTTCGTGGTTTTCTCTATGTGTAATGGGGACACGAGCCTGTTTTTCGTAGAAATCCCTCTCCTAAGGCTTTTGGCATGATCTGCTATAGTCAAACTAAATCTCACAATTACGTAACCTGCGGTGGAAAACTGCATTGTGGATCCTATGATGTACAGGCTTGGAGTAGAGGAAAAAAGCTAAGTAAATATTCCCTTCATAAACGGAAATATTTTCTCATATTAGATAGAACTAACAAATGGTTATTCATAGTAAAAACTAAATTTATTAATTTGAAATTTAATGGGCATATAATTAAAAACATATACCTAATCCTCCACAAGTACCCATTCTTAGGAATACAGGGTCTTCAGCCTTTGCATGATGCATCAGTTTCATTATTTCATGAAGCACCACAGAAATAGAAGGTGAACCTATACCATGCTGGAAATGAAGAGTTATCGATCTTACATAATGCGTAGCTTTATTTAATTGGACATTAAAATCCAGGTCATTTATACTTACGCTCACACACAAAACAGGACCAGCTTTGAACAAAGAATAACGTGAAGATTTTGATATATTGCAGAGTTCATTATCTTTTGGATTAGTTCTTCCCAAAACTTTGAAGACATATTCAGCAAATTCTTTCATTCTTTCTGGCGTGCCACCGACGCAAACAAACTGTTCAAAATAATAAGAATTTGTATAGTACTAAAACACATTACAGACACTTACAAATTGCTCAGAAGGAATAGAATTTGTATTTTACATTTCAAAATCAAAATATCAAAATTATCAAAATAAAACTTAGTCTAAGCAAATTCAAATTCATGTTCAATTTGGAATAATGGCATGGTACAAAAATATCAAAACTGCTAATGCAAACAACCATTGTATAAAATAAATTAAAAAAATAGCCTTACAAGTGTTAGATTACTCTTTCTTTGAAACTTCATCCTGTATTTCGGCTGCTATTATTAATTTATATGCAGAATTTTCTCTTAATATTAAGTTTCTTGAATTTAGCTTATAAAAATAATCATGTTTTTTTCTTACTATACTTATGTTTCTCATCCCTTGACAGCTTTATGATTCTGACAAGATTACTTGCATTTTTGCAGATTATAGCCTTTATTTATTTTCATGCACATTTCAAAATATTTTTTACATTTTAAATTATTTCTCGTACTACATTTACTATATTTGGATTCACTTTTGTTTCTCGTGTGCTGTTTATTAATTTGGGTCAGGTGCCTTTTTGATTCCGGCCTATAAGGGTTGCACTGATGGATACACATGTGATTAAATTAAAATTTTGCTTGATTAAAGATAAATTTTAATTTTAATTATTTGTACATTTGCCAGCTCAGAAGTAGTTTTTTTTTCTTTGACGGTTCTCGGTATACCAAATCTGACGAAGGTGTGCCGGGATATTGTAAAATCCATTTTTTTATTATTATTATTTTGCATTTTTCCTGTGTTTAAAGTATTTTTCTGCGAATTGTGCTTTGCGCTATGTTGGTTTGTCTTGAGGTTTTAAAAAAGCTTTCAATTTGGATATTGAATTTAATTTTTCTATTTAAATCATTTAAGTATATGCAGTTTCATTTTCGTTTTAGCCGGAGCGTTTGCACAAGAGAAAATGACTCGCAGAATACTGATGATAAAAATAATATAATATTATTTCGCTTTCTTATGCTGTAATACAAAACATTCTGCAAACCAATTTTCTCCTGATATGAAAAATATTTTGTTTCAAAAAAATGCAGGCAGGTAAAATTTTTCTAATTAGATCAATAAAAAGATAAATTTCTCTTATAAAATATTAAAATCATGACTTTACAAAAGTTGGATTATTAATTTTATCACTGATTGTATGTATATACTTCTTAACAAATATTTTTGATTTTACGTTAACAGACTTCATTTATATTTAACTAAACAAGGTATTAAAAACTCGTAAATCTCAAAAAGACAGAAATATCATGCAATGGGAATCGCAAAATAAATGAGAGTAAAATACTCTAGCATTCCTTGCCTGTATCTCGTTCTTTCTTGACAAAAGATGCACTGTGAAAAATAAGAAGAATTATTCAATAAACAGTGTCAAAAACTTGTGGGGTTCCAACCTTTTATCTAACAGCTAAATGTGTAGGAACCTCGTGAACACTTAAGCAAATAATCGCTTTAGTTCATGAACAGAGACGAAAATTCAAGAAGGGTTAATTACCCTTTATTTCTCAAAATAAGAACTTAACAGATAGGTCCTTATCAAAGCGTACAGCAAAGCCTCCACTTGAGCTTTGCTGGCAAAGAAGTAAAACTTAACTAATGCTTAACTAAAAAGATATAACCGAAGCTATCAAGATTTCTAAGTAGTTGGCCTTTAAATATCAAATAAGCTGGCGAAGCTCTCAAGGGCCTGAAATACAGCCGAGCGTAGTAAGAGATAGAGAGAATGTAGCTAAAAGGCGAACGCGCGTTAGTCAGAAACTCTGGCTCTCTAATGAAGTCAGTGGAACTTCGACTTAAATACCGCTTTTACTCATTTGCATTAACCGCGATTCTAAAAACATATTCTGGTAGGAAATTGTAAGCTGAAATTAGGAGGGACAGGAAAGTAGCTTTAACTAAACATAACTGTTAAAAACGTAGGATAAACCTTACAAACTCTTTATTAATATAGATTTTGTTATATTTTTTTCATCACATCTTATACTAAGGGAGAATTAAAATGCGGCGATAAAAAAGGGTGAATTTTCATTCTCATTTTTTATGCTTCATAGCACCTTACGCTCTAGAACAAAACTTTTTTTTAATCTTTATGTAAAAGGTATTCGTATTATTTCTATAACTAATGCATTCTTAAAATTATCTTTGATGTAATTTAATTGTCCTCTTACATTAAATATCTAATGTCCAGATTTCATAATGACGTCATTGTAACAGACTCTAAGGGAAAAGAGAGATATGCTACCGTGGTAACTAAAAAAAATCAAAGAATGTAAACCTTTCTATAATGCGGCTTAGACAACAAATAGTTTTTAACCAACTTGAGTACATTTCTTTCTATAGTGAAATTGAATGTTACAGTTTTACACTGGCAGTGATAGAATTTTAAAAGTCTGGTGGACCGAGCTGGCTAGTTATTATTAGCTTTTAACTTCTTTGCTTAAACATAATATTTGGAATTTCTGAAGATAACCATTTAACTTTTCGGAATATTTTGATTGCCTGTCTATCCCTGCTTTCTCTTTCTGTTCCTAGAATTAGTTTATTAAAGAATCTAAATTTCAAAATTTGCATTCATTAATAAACTGTCCTGAGAGAGACATTAATTTATCAGAAAACTACATTTTACATACAGAGTATTTAATAAATTAACCGACGGTAACATAACATTGACGCTTATTACCATATATAATGCATGGAGAAAGTTTCTCTACTGAACACTTATATACAAGGTATGACAATAAAGTTCGATGAATGACGCTAGAGAATGCCCAGTAGTGGGCGAACAACGAAGTGAAGAAAAGATACTCCACAACATGTTTTAACAAGTCAGAGGAATAGATATTGTGGATTTCTGTTAGTAATGCTTTAGCCTGCAAAAGTGTAGCTATGGTTGCAATGAATGGTTTTAACACTTTCGATATGGATGGAATTTCACTCAAGAAGCTGCGAGAAGTGATAAGCCTACTTCTACTACGTCTGTTATTGACGAAAAAATCGAAAGACTGAAAGTGATGTTAGCCACAAAAAGGGCAATAATGAATACTAACACGCACAAAGTAATTTTTTACAAACGATTTGTCGTGTACTTAAGTAACATGCTTCACGATGATAATGCCAGGCCACATTCGGCCTTCGTTGTTTATGAGTTTGTAGAAGTTTAGCCCCTGATTTTCCACTTTACTCACTTGATCTTGCTCTTTTTTCTGTTCTCGCACCTAAAACGAGCTTTAATACTATAATGATCTTCGGATACAATGGATATTCTAAGTCAAGGGTTCTCAATGTGATACTGAAAGAGGATTTTGTTCGCAGTTTTCAGGATCCTCACAGCCCTCATCAAAAGTGGCTTGCAAACAACAAACTCTATTTCGAAGGAATCTGAAACGCCTTTCCTGATTTAGGAAGGAATCTTTTGTTTATGAGAATCTCTACTGACCTTATTGTCATACCTTCTAGAAGTGTAGTAACTTTTAAAAGTTAAATAGCATTCAAGCCTTAGATATTAATAATGTTTGGTTATGAGAACTCTTTGATCCATGAATCAGATAATGACAGCGCGACCATAGTCGTCATGCCTGTGAAGTACTCATCTGAACGTTCATTTCCGAGTCCAAACCAATTTTTTATGTATTCTGTCTGCTGTCTCGATATACGTTTTCCATCTGACTACAAAGTAAGTAATTATTGTTTGAAAATCAACTTGATTTTTTCTCAAAGCTAAGTTCAGAGCTCTACCATTTTCTCTGGTTTTTACGTACGTATACTGTGTAGTTAGATAATTCGCAATAATTTTTTTAAATTTAATAATTAACATGCTTTTGTTAATACACTACCGTAATTTCTTGTAGGCAGTCTTTTGATGCAGTTTACGAAAGCTCATATATAAGAACTCTAAAATATTTCTTGTTCAGTAAATGAATGTTATGCAAATTAAATTAGCGCTATCATAATTAGAATTTTTAAGCAAACATAATTTTGTTTAATTAAATTCATTCGAACAAACTAAAAACTGAGATCAGTCTTTTAGATTTTCTCTCAAACATGAGACAGACAGGCGTTCAGTTTATTCTTATGACATCGATTCAGTATCTCTTTTTGTATCAGGAAGTTCACCAGTGGCTAAAATGCGAAGCATTGTTGATTCATCTCGTTTCCTAGCACAAGAAACGGAACAGACTGGCTGCATAGGTATTTCCATGTTTTTGTGGCTTTGCTCAGCGTAAATACTGGTCAGTTTTTATTAGATCAGGTGCTCGCAGCGTTATCGATATTGACCATCCGGGCTTTGAAGAAATTTTTAAAAGGGGATCGATTGGAAATTGATAGCTAGATATATCTCGGAGATTGATCAGAAAATTAAGATCCCATTGATTACAAAAAACTCATTATTGAAATTGATAATTAATTGCTTGCGGGGTCGGTACTGCCCTTCTGTGAGTTGAAGAAATTTTAAAGAGAGTCAATGGTCATCAAGGGTTCAATTAAGTGTTTATAGACAAAAGTGTACTCCGGCAACTCATCGGAAGTCAAGATTCTATAGATTACAAAAAGTTATTAATGGAACTGATAATTAACTGCTTATTAATATAAAGCTATATCATGTAGTAAGAAAGCTATCATAAATATTAGGGAAAAAGGTACTTTTCCGTTTTGCCGGCGCAGGCGATAAAGTTTTCAAAACAAGTTGCCTCATTTTCAAAACAAGTTGCAGCCATTTCTTATCAGATTAATTGTTTTTTTAATACTGGCATAAAACTGCATAGAATTTTTACCAGATAGTTCAATTTTATGCCCTACGGCCATTCGCGGTAGATAAGTCAATTAGGATGCAATCACACCGCTCATCCAAAGGGGAAAATACAGAAAAGGCAAAGTAAATTGCTAAATTCATCAATTCTAATGTGAATGCACTAGCGAAGTAAAGCACTGCGGTTTAACAAAATTTC